AAAAGTGATATTTTCGACTTCTTGTTAAAAACCACAAGTCCGATTGCTTTGATATTACATATATAGGTACTACATGTGGACCTCTCTCAGATTTGTTCATTTTGTGATGATGTCTTCAATTCTCTAATTTTCGTGAATATTTTTGTAATTTTTGGTAAAAAGTGATATTTTCGACTTCTTGTTAAAAACCAATAGTTCAATTGCTTTGATATTACATATTTAGATACTACATGTAGACCTTTCTCAGATTTGTTCATTTCGTGATGATATCTTCAATTCTCTAATTTTGGTGAATATTTTAGTCATTTTTGGTAGAAAGTGATATTTTCGACTTCTTGTTAAAAACTGTAAGTCCGATTGCTTTGATACTATACATATTGTTCATTTTCTGATGATGTCTTCAGTTCTTTAATTGAAATGTGCATTTCTAACAGCGGAGCTATCTCAGCCGATAGGCTGCTTGTTATATTAATTGATGTACCAAAGCATTAAGGATATGCACAAAAGATGCACCAGTTTCAATGTTAGAGGCAATGTATTGGTTGCTATCAAAACACCTAAACTTGTGTTTTATTACATTAAACTGATAGTTAATGTAATGTTCCTAATACTATGAAGAGTGGGGGGGTGTCATCTCAGCCGCGTTTTGCACATTTCACCCTCCTTCGTATATGTTGCTGAATATACTATGGGACTTTTTGACTACATACGGTTACAACGACAACAACCTATTGGCAGGAAGTAAGAGCTAGTTTTGGAACTTTGCTCTGGTGAGGGTCAAGGCTTCCAATGTAGTCAACTGTTGTTCACATGTGGAGTGCGTATATTATAGTTATACTGCGAAAAAGTGGGTTTTTTTTGAATTTTGAATTCTATCAGGGTTGGTGACCACAATGCACATGTCTAACTCTTTTTGTGTGAACCTCAGATTACTAGTCTGAGTGTGAACAGACAATGTCACAGTGATCAGAACGAAAAAATTATCAATATGAACAGATCCCACCTTTTTAGGTGCGTGTCGTCATAAGGTCACCATCATGGTTTCAGGTTATCGAATAGCGTATTCAGTAGACCTGTCACGGATATGAAGAATTTGTTCAAAAAAACTGTCAGATTTCTAGTAAAAATGTTCAGTTTTCAACAGATATGAGTTCAGTAAACACTGAGCAAAGAAAACTGTTGGCAATCAGAAAACAAGCTAGGCAGCTAAAACATGCGATATGCAGCACTGAGTGTAATCACTGTTACTAAAAAAGTAACCGTGGTGTAGTACAAATGGCATTTTCTTGTAATGAAGAACGTTATCTGTAACATTATTCAAGAAAATGTACAAATATTTAACTATTTTATAAACATCCATATATATTCATTTTATCATTGTGAATAAATTGTCTAATGACCTTAATATAAAGGTGTTTTTTTTTCTTTCTTTTTTTTATCTGGCTTGTAACATTGGCTCTGCGAGTATGTGTGGGGACATGGACATAATTTCCCAATGTCTACAAGGCTTGATCAAAATTATACAGATTTATTTCGAAAGTGGTGAGTTTTATTGAAAAAACAAATGTCTGAAAACGTGCAGCTCATAATTGAAGCGGAAGGGTCGTCACCTGTGCACGTGCAAGAATTGAGTTCCAAGCGACGATAGCAACACATGCTTAAAAAACACAAAGGCTCACGGGCAGAAGCTTGTTTGTAAACAATGACACGCTATGGTCATTTGACGCACACGCAGGTGACGACTCCCCCGCTTTAAAGTGTCACAAATCAGTAGAAAAGATTTGGTGAATACTTTCTTTGAAGTGTTCAGTGAAAGACAGGTTTACTCTTGTTTATTGTTATTTGAAATCAATCTCATTAAAATCTACTGGAAATGAGATGATTTGATTGGCTAAGGCAGTACCAGCCTCCATTCCAACCACTGTAATAATCTGCCAAATTTATGAAATCGCTGTGCAAAACATTAATTTATTATAAATTTACAAATAGTTTGGTTTATAAATATTTTAATATGTACATTCATTACGTTGTACCTAGGGAGGTGAACTTTTTGTTAGAAATGCCTCCACCTCTCTGTTTCCGGCGAAAATGGGGAAAAAAATTGGCTTCTCGTACGTCTGTATTGTTTTGAAGCATTCGCCATAGAGGGCGCTTTATTTTATATTGCTGATACTCAGATTCCTGGCAAGATGGTCGACTTGAGGAAAGATGCGCTCATTTTAGACAGCCAAATACTAAATCTAGTTGCCTCCGTAACTACTAAAAACAAGAATAATTGGACTGCACACCCCTATACTTATTGTGTTTGACACACGCGCCTTATCTCTAACCCCACCAGGTTGGAAATTTCATGAGAAAATGCTCGAGCCTAATATTGCTTTCCCGTGATTAGCCAGGGGTGTCAGGGTTTTCAGTGACTCGTGCATTACATTTCTGCAATTAACCTTTTGATATAAATTGCGCCCTCTGGCGACAAACGATTTCTGCAGCATTAATGACATGTATTTGAAAGCAATGTATTAACCCCATTTGTCAACACTAGGTTACGCGTCAAATTACCAAGTGGGTGAATCTCTGCTTGCTTTCTATTACCAACCACGTGATATGTGCTAATATAACGGCCATTTAGGACAACATTACAGTTTCAAATATGTACAATTTTTATAAATAAACCAGCTTTTTTTCGAAATTTATTGCTATAAATGTTTCCTGGTACATCGGTAATAAGATAAAAAATGTTTGAACTAATAAAAGTACGATTTTTTTTAACGTTGATTGCCATTCGTGTCCCAAATAATTCAGATTGCAAATATCAAATGGCACGGAGCTGTCGTGTATATTTCATATTTTGTGGGAACCCCAGACTTCATATAAATGAGAGGTCATATGGAAATATTTGTTCTGTGGGTGTGGGGCAAACGATTTGCACAATTACAGATTTTCACTAGTTTTGTAAATTGGCGAATTTGCACTTAGAAATACGTATTTTCATTGTAATATGTCGCGCATGCGTAGCGTGACTACCTTTTAACGCACTTGGATCGACCATTGATTGGTAGTAATGTAATATGGAAAGGTTCGACAATAACAGCTCTAAAGCAGACGATTTCTACTGTTTTGGGTACGGGGGGCAACATGCCATTACTGCCACCAGTACATCAGACTTGCCATCAGACTTGCATGGTTCGTACCCAATCTAATAAAAATAAGATTCTAGTTTTGTTTTATCTTATTTGGATCTATTATTTATTTGTTCATAGTTTTTGTTGTTAGAGATTCGGTAATTGCGAATGCCTAAACAAGGCATGTTATATGGCGATAGTTAAAAATATACCGCATCACAAGTATGCAACAAAAACATTAAAAAAATTACAAAACAATTGAAAAAATAGTAAAAGTAAAATAAATATATAAAATGCACGCCGTGCAATACATCATATTTAAATCAGATTGGGTTTGTAACCATATGGCAATCTTGTTCAGTGGAAACAGTTGCCTCAATGTGAAACCATTAAAGTGAAAGACTGTTTCAACGCTTTCGTAATCAGTTATTTGTCTTAGTTTCTTCATATGCTATCCTACTAAGTGACAAGAAAGTCGGGCGACATTAACAAACAAACGTACAGAATGGGCGAAAGCCGACCGCACTTAATTTGCGTTATCAAATTACGGAGCTGCGTATTTATTTCAAAAACAAATAAAAAATGGGTAAAAATTTCGACTGCGTTTTTATGGTATGGTAAAAAATAGGTATCCTCGGGGGCGGAGGTACGTCACAGAC